AGGATAGTGCTCTTTCTCTACGGATGATCTCTCGGAAGGTATATCTTTCTGGAACCTTACTCTTGTGGGTTATTCTATCGGTCAAAGACCGTATTATGAAAGGCTTCTTGCTTCCATGAGAAAGCTTTGGAAATTAAAAGGATCTATGTCTCTGATCTCGCTTCCTGAAGGTTTTTTTCTTCTTAAATTCAATAATCTTGAAGATTACAACTTTGTCTGGTCCAGAGGACCCTGGTTCCTTCTAGGAAAACCATTTGTTCTTCAACAATGGTCTCCGAAATTTAAACCAAAAAGAGATGAATCTGCTTCGGTGCCTATCTGGATCAAAGTTCTTGATCTTCCTTTAGCTCTTTGGACGCCTTCGGGAATTTCCAAAATAGCTAGTTATGTTGGAATACCTCTAACGGTTGATGATCTTACCGCTAAGCGAACTCGTCTTAGTTACGCTAGAATATGTGTCCAAATTTCTAAAGAATCCAAACTTCCCGATGAAATCCCGATTGTGATTGAAGGGGAAGAATCTGTTTTAAAAGTTGTTTATGACTGGAAACCTACTCCTTGTGAGTCATGTGGTTCCCTAATTCACCCTTCTAATCTGTGTCCTACTAACCCCACTCCTAATCAATCTTCGGGCCCTAGTACCCTTCCTAAACAAAGAGGAAGAGATATTAGTAGACAACATCGTCCCATCTATAGATCTAAATCTAAGTTACCCCCGCTTCTTCCAACCCCTTTATCTGAGCCCTCTAATCCTAACCCGGTTATTGCTCCAAATTCTGAGATGGCTACATCGTCTCATGCTGTTCCTCCTGTTGACTCCAGAATACTTGCTAATCAGGAGGAAAAAATTATTCCTGCTGTGCCGGTCTGCGACAATGGTTTGAAGGGAAAGGATTCTAATATTCCTAATCTCAATTTTCCTACTGAGGAATTATCCTCTTCTGAACCTAACTCTTCTTTCACGGTTAACAAAGGAAAGGGCATCAAGATAAATAATAAGTTTAATCTGCTTGTTGAGGAAGATCCTCTGAACTTTATTCAGGAAGATGAATTAGAGGAGATCTCATCTTTACAACATGGGAAATACCATGAGGATACAGATCTATCCAAAAACAAATCCCCTGCTCAAAAGTCTCCCAATATTAACATACCTCCTCCTCAGTCAACAAATAAAAAATCTTCAAAAGCAAAAAATGCCAAAAAGGCAAAACCTTCTTCTTCCAAATCTAGATGATTTCTCAGTTAGCCTGCTGGAATGTTAGAGGGTTTAAGAACCCGGGAAAAATATATGCTTGTAGAAATCTGATTTCTAAACACAAGTTAAAGTTTTTTTGTATTCTTGAGGCCAAAGTTCAATACTCTATGCTTGAGGATACTTGGTTTATTAATTCTCATAAGCTTTATGAGAATGAAGGTTCTTGTAACAATTTCAATCTTGCTTCTCCGGGAAGGATCTGGGTTAAATGGGACTCTTCTCAAGTTTCTTTTAACCCGACTATTATTACTGATCAAATTATTCATGGGAACATTGATTTATGTATTCATTCTGATTTCTATATTTCTGTAATCTATGCTGCTAACTCTCCAGAGGATAGAAAATCTCTCTGGACTAGTATTAATGACATTTCTCTTAATATGTCTAAGCCCTGGATTTTGATGGGTGATTTTAACTGCTGCCGTTATGAAAATGAAAACATTGGTGGGGTTCCTTTGCCTCACAGCAGGATGGGTGGTCTTAACAAGACCATTTTTGATAATGGTCTTTATGACCTTTCCTCGGTTGGTCTTTTTTACACCTGGTTTAATCAACAGAAAGATAACCCTATCCATTGTAAATTAGATAGAGTTTTGGTTAACACTGAATGGTTGGATAATTTTCCTAATTCCTATTATATAGTGGATGCCCCTCAGTCTTCTGATCATTCTCCGTTGATCACTCACACTGACTCCATCCATTTTAAGCCCTCCAGATTCCTTTTCAAAAATTTTTGGTCGAAAATGGATGGTTTTAGAGAATTAGTTCTAGATGCTTTTCAAAGTAATCCAGCCTCTAGCCCCATTGCTTCGTTTTACTCGAGCCTTCAATCCCTTAAGAGGATGATTAAAAGGAAAAACTGGAATTCCTCTAACTTTATTATTAACGGCATTGAGGATCTCAAGACCAAGCAAAGGAATCTGCTTATAGAAATTAATAATAATCCGTTGGATTATACTATTATTTCCTTGCTTAAAGATACTAATGATCGACTCTCGAATTACCAAAATTATTGGGCCTCTTGGAATCTTCAGAGAGCTAAGATTAAATGGCTCACTCACGGGGAAGAGGATCTTGGGTTCCTTTATGCAAAAATAAGATCTAGGAAGAATATTAACACTTTAAAAGTGTTATCCACTCCTGATGGAGAGTGCTCTAATCACCAAGAAATTGCTAGAGCCCTGGTTAAACATTTTAATAGCCTGTACAACACTCCTGCTCCCTCTAATGCTAACATTTGTGATACTTATATTGGGAATACTCTGCCTCCGGATTTTGCTAGTTTTTTGGATAGTCCTTTCTCTGATGAGGACATTAAATCAGTTGTTTTTTCTTTCTCTAATGGTTCTTCCCCCGGTCCTGATGGCTACACGGCTGAATTTTACAAGGAAAATTGGGACTTAATTGGTGTTAAAGTTTGCAAAGCTGTTAAAAATTTCTTTTCTTCTAGTCAGATGACTAAAGGGGCAAAAGCTACGGCTATTACTTTAATTCCTAAGCATTCTCATGCCAACTCTATCTCTGATTACAGACCCATTTCTCTCTGCAATGTTTTTTATAAGGTGGTTGCTAAGCTCTTGGCTAATAGGCTGAAAAAAGTTCTACCTTATATTATTCATGAAAGTCAAGGGGGCTTTATTAAGGACAGAAGCGCCTCTGATAATATCATTCTTGCGTCTGAAATTCTTAGAGACTTCAACAATTCTAATAACTATTTCTGTGCCAAGCTTGATATTCATAAAGCGTTTGACTCTATTTCCAGAGATTTCATCATCTGCTGTCTCAAGAACAAAGGTTTTACTGATAAATTCATTGGTTGGATTAAAGGCTGCATTTATAATGTTTATTTTTCTATCTGTGTTAACGGCTCACTTGAAGGTTTCTTTAATTCCTCTTCTGGTTTTAGACAGGGTTGCCCGCTTTCCCCTCTTCTATTTTGCATTGTTATGGATAACTTTTCCAATAGATTGATGGATAAGCAAAAATATAATTTCAAGGGCTATTCTTCCAATGGCCAGGAGTTTAATCATTTACTTTATGCTGATGATGTTCTTGTTTTTGGGAAAAATTCCATACAAAATGCTAAGAATTTTAAACTTATCATGGAAGATTTTGCGAAGGCATCTGCTCTTTGTTTTAATCCTAACAAAAGTACTATTATTTTTTCCCCTCGTGCTGGTAACACTAGGGAAATCTGTTCTATTCTTGGCATTTCTAATATGGCTGAAAGTTTTACTTATCTGGGAATTCCTATTTCTATTAAAAGACTCTCGGCTTCGTTTTTCCAGCCCCTGTTAGATAAGATTTCTGGTTTGTTAGATGGCTGGAAAGTCAAATTTCTATCTATGGCAGGGAGGATTCAATTTTTAAAATTTTCTATTGCCAATACCTTAGCATATTGGATTAGGGGGGCAATTATACCAAAAAGTGTGTGTAAATTCATAGACAGAATTTGCTCAAGATTTTTATTTCATGGTAATTCTAATTACAAAAAAATGCACCTGATTGCTTGGACCACGGTTTGCAGCCCAAAGAAAGCAGGTGGATTGGGTCTGCCTTCTATTAATGCATTATATCATAGTTTTACCTGTTCTCTGATTTGGAGAATGCTTGCTAGTAATAATGCTCTCGCTGTTTGGTATAGGGGTAATTACGATTCCCCTTGGAAGCCTTCACCTGCTGAGGCATCTAAATTCTGGAAATTGATTTGCTCTGTGGCTAGGAAGATTAAAAGCAAATTAAAACTTCACATTACCACGAATAGCAGTTTTTCCTTTTACTGGGACCCCTGGTGTAATGGCATGGCTATTGCTGATATTATCAACCCTGACTGTGATATTTTTGTGCCGGTCAAGAACTTTATTCAGGATCTGAATTGGAGGCTTTCTAATGACATTCCTAGAATCGTTAAAGAGGAAATTCTTAAAATTGATATTGGCAAGCAACCGTCTTTGGACTGGGATGGCTTGACAAAACCGATTAATAGCAAGTTCTTAGAGGATTTTTATAGTGACAATCCTGAGATTTCTTGGCATAAATATATTTGGTATAAAAAGAATCCTCTTCGTTTTTCAATTTACTCCTGGATGGCTATCATGGGGAAGCTTAAAACGGCAGACATTTTGCTTAAAAGGAATATTTCTACCCCTATTATCTGCAGCTGCTGCAATAACGATCATGAAAGTCATAATCATTTGTTCTTTGAGTGTGACTATTCTTTTTGGGTTATTAAAAGTTTATTTCCTCTGATGGAAAATTTTCTTATGAGGCCGACCTTGATCCAAATACTGGAGCATTTAGATTTACATCAAGGTTTTTCTAATAATGTGAAAAATTTTTGCTACTTGGTTATCTCTGCAGTTGTCTATTTCATCTGGATGGAGAGGAATAAGAGAAGATTTAATGACCTTTGGGTCTCACCTTTAACCTTGGTTTTCACTATCAGAAAGAGTATTAAATTGAAAGTGAAATCCTGGAAAAATTTTGAGATTCTTCAAAATATTTTTCCAGAAATTCTTTATTAATCCTGATTTTTCTTTGTTTTAGATCTATTTGGTAGTTGGAAGATTTTGCCTATTTTTCCTCTCATTCTCTGGTCCACGGTGACGCCGGGATCTCTTCTACTGATTACTAGACCTTGTCAGTTTATTTGGAAGATCGTGTTTTTCCCCTGCCTGATTTTGGCACTAAAAGTGCAGCTCTTTTGAATTTCATTTCTTTGACTAATGTGAAAAACTCTTGCCTCTTGGTTAAAGGTTTTCACTATCAGAAAGAGTATTAAATTGAAAGTGAAATCCTGGAAAAATTTTGAGATTCTTCAAAATATTTTTCCAGAAATTCTTTATTAATCCTGATTTTTCTTTGTTTTAGATCTATTTGGTAGTTGGAAGATTTTGCTTATTTTTCCTCTCATTCTCTGGTCCATGGTGACGCCGGGATCTCTTCTACTGATTACTAGACCTTGTCAGTTTATGTGGAAGATCGTGTTTTTCCCCTGCCTGATTTTGGCACTTAAAGTGCAGCTCTTTTGAATTTCATTTCTTTGACTAATGTGAAAAACTCTTGCCTCTTGGTTAAAATTCTTTATTAATCCTGGATTTTTCTTTGTTTTTTTGCGAGGTTCTTTTTGGATTAATACGGATGCTCATCCTATTTCCTACCCGGGGGTTGGCTTGGAAGATATTCTTGCTGTTTCAATTCTGCCCTGTATGTTTGTTGTAGATCTATTTGGTCGATGGAAGATTTTGCTTTATTTTCCTATCCTTCTCTGGTCCATAGTGACGTCGGTTATCTCTACTGCTGATCCCGATTTTGACAGTTTATGAGGCAGGACGTGTTATTCCCTGCCTATCTATGGCACTGAAAGTGCAGCTCTTTAGAATTTCAATTCCTTTATTAGCTTCTGTTATTGTTTTTCCATTTTAGTTTTCCACATTCTGTAGCTTGTATAGAATGTTGGAAATTCTTTCGGTATTTTTCTTCTGTTGTTTTTTCCTTTTTGTTGGACTCTGTTTTTGTTTTAAATTTCAATAAAAACGGGCTATGCCCCAACATTACCCCAAAAAAAAAGTAAGTCACCCAACTAACCGGCTATTAGTAGGTCATCCAATGAGTAAATATCTTTTTATTTAATTAGCAACTTAATTATATACTTTAAGGGCAAGAACAAACTTCATAATAAAGAGAGTGAAAACTCATATACAATGATATGGATAGTGATGATTCATTTAAGCAAGTATTGTTCATTTAATAGTTATGTATATGACTTAGGTTTCTTTTGGGACGGCTTTTTTACTGCTTTCTAAAACGGAGTTTTAATACAAAAAAAAAAAAATTGTACTAAAACTCTGTTTTAAAAAACAGTAAAAAAGCCGTCCCAAACGAAGCATTAGACTTGTTCGATCACAGTTATTCTTTTTATATCAAATGTCTTTAATTAATGATGTCGAATATTTATCTCATAAAAATGGCCACCTTGC